GGTGGTACAAAATTTAGACGACTTGTCTGATTTATCAGGCTCAGATTCTGAGGATGACTCATGCTTTATCAACAGTATTCATTCTCCTTCCGATAGTTACCTAAATCAGCTCGATGATAACCTAATTGAACAACGTCTTGAACATATCTTTGGCTTTGGATTGACGGGAGACAAACAAGACCCACCTTCTCCCCCTATGCAAACTCAACAGATTTCAACGGATGCCTTACTGACAGTCTTAGATGAAACATCGCATTTCACAAACACACCAAAAACAGACAACAGTCTTTTGCCAACTCACTTAGGTACTGAAACTGAGCAATGTTATGATCAGCCTTCTGACGTTCACACATTTAATGAAGTTCAGCAAAATTTTGATGTCATTGATGCCCCCATGGAAGAGTTTTTGGCAGATGATGGGCAAGAGTCTGAAACTAACAACGAAGTACGCAGAGATCGTTCTCAGCCAAGAGTATGGGAGATAAAATCGGAAACCCATGAAGTTCCTCTTTTCGAAAAACGTTTTAAGCCCAAGGCTAACGATACTCATAAAACATCACCTCTAAGTATTTTTGAGCGGCTTTTTCCTGATGAACTGATGGTAATAATTGTGGAACAAACCAACAGATACGCCCGTCAGAAAAATAGTACTAACTGGAAACCTGTAACTCTACAAGATATTAAGGCGTATCTAGGAGTTTTAATCCTTATGGGCTTAAATCCTTTACCGGACATGGAACTCTACTGGTCATCAGATCCCTTTTATTACAATAAGGAAATTGCCCAGGTTTTCCCAATAGTAAGATTTAAAAAAATTACAGAAAACCTCCACTTAAATGATAACGAGATGGAACCACCAAGAAACTCCCCTGAATATGACAAATTATTTAAATTGAGACCCCTCCTCACAGAACTCAACAAAGTTTATCAAAGAGAGGCATACAATTCAGAAGTACAATCGATTGATGAGTGTACGAGGTCTGTCCGGAAAGTTCGTATAAAAGTGTTCTGGAATGCGAGAAAGAGGAGTGGGGAGGCCAGGTAAGCGCAGGACCCCTTCCTTATGTCCCTAACAATGCTTCAGTTCTGGTCTGACCGCCGTGCGGTGCGAACTGGCTTGTCACGCCATCTGTGAAGTTACCTCTTAACGAAACCCCGTCGGCATGGAGCCCGCTTCCGTTGAAGAGCAGCGCGTCGTAATCAAGTTTCTCTCGAAACTCGGCAAGAATGGCCGTGAAATTTTTGCCGATCTCAGAACAGTTTATGGGGATGATGCTGTGAAGGAACCAACCGTCCACAAGTGGCTAAAAAGATTCAGAGAGGGCCGAGAAAGCGTTCAAGATGACCCACGTTCAGGACGTCCTTCCACTTCACATTCCGACGAAAACGTGGAAAGAATTCGAACTTGTGTTAATGGGGACCGTCGTTTAACGGTCAGACAGGTGGCTGAAGAGCTTAATTTGGGCAAAACCGTGGTCCACGAAATTCTAAGAAACGAACTTCAAATGAAAAAAATTTGCGCCAAGATCGTTCCCAAGCTTTTGTCCCCGGATCAAAAATCACGAAGAGTTGCTTGCTGTGAGGACTGGTTGGAAGCCGAAGAGAATGGTGACTTTTTGAACCGAGTCATCACTGGAGATGAGTCTTGGTTCTACGAATTTGATGTCGAATTAAAATCCCAAAGCAAAGAGTGGAAGACATCCGGGGAACCACGAACAAAAAAATCAAGAAAATCCCGCTCAAATGTCAAGACAATGTTGATTGTTTTTTTCGATGTTCGGGGGATTGTCCATCAAGAATTCGTCCCTCCAGGCCAGACAGTTGATGGAAAATTCTACGTCGATGTGCTCAGACGCCTCAAAGCTCGTGTGGCACGAGTTCGTCCAGAATTGGCGCGAGAGGGGCGTTGGATTCTTCACCACGACAATGCCCCTGCCCACACCTCTCTTGTTGTCCGTGAGCTTTTGAGTAAAAATTCCATTACGGTGACCGAACACCCCCCCTATTCGCCGGATTTGGCCCCGTGTGACTTCTTCTTGTTCCCAAAAACCAAATTGGTACTTCGGGGGCGGCATTTGGGGGACATAAATGAGATAAAAAAAGCTACGACGGGGCAGCTGAGAAACCTACAACCAGAGGACTTTCAAGGAGCCTTCTCACAGTGGAAACGGCGTTGGCACAAGTGCATTATGTCACAGGGGGAGTACTTTGAAGGGGATAAAATTGATTTACCTGAATAATTGTAAAATAAATTTTTAAAAAACTTTTATACGTACTTTCCGGACAAACCTCGTATGGTCAAATTTAAAGGGCGCAGCTCCTTAAAGCAATACATGCCGAAAAAACCCATCAAAAGAGGATTTAAGGTATGGGCAAGATGTGACGCCAAAACTGGGTACTTGTACCAATTCGAAGTGTATTCAGGAAAAGGCGACAGCACCGAAAATGAAGGGTTAGGCTACAATGTTGTCATGAAACTCTGCAGTAACGTACCAAGAAACACTTTAATTGCCTTTGACAACTTTTTTACTAGCTGTAACCTCATGGAGGATCTTTACGATAAAAATATTTATGCAGTGGGAACAGTCAGATGCAACAGAAAGGACTTACCTGATATGATAAAAAAAAAACAACCGAAACCATTGCGATTAGATAAACATCAGTTTTCAGCGGTTACTGCAGAGCCAATCACAGCCATTAAATGGCTTGACACAAAGGAAGTTACTGTCCTGACAACAGCACATCAGCCCTTAGACACAAGGATGATAAAAAGAACCCAAAAGGATGGCTCTGGAGCTGACATTCTCTGCCCGGCTGCAATTGCTTCATACACGCTCAGTATGGGCGGAGTAGATCTTTTTGACCATTTTAGATCGTCATACCCTATAAACCGGAAATCCAGGAAATATTGGATGCGACTATTCTTCTTTCTGTTCGATGCATCTATAATTAATGCCTACATAACGTACAACTACTCCCATGTCCCGACCCTGCATGGCCACCGTGATTTCAGACTACGGTTAGCACGTGCCCTTATAGATAATCACACGACACGAAAAACTCACACACAAACAGATGTAGTTTTTAAAAAAAATAAAAAAGGTGGTAGGTTTGGCGTTCCCGATGAGATTCGGCTGTTAAATGTTGGCATACACTTGCCTGAAGAAAGTGCCACTTACAAAAGATGTCGCTTTTGCAGCACAAAGCACAAAGAACAGAGGACAAAAATAGTATGTTCCTCCTGTGGAGTAGCTCTTTGTGCCAAAAACTGTTTCAAAACCTTTCACACAGTTCTTACTCAGTAATGTTATTTTCATATAGTATTTGAAAAGTTCTTAATAAAATATTATTTGTAACATTCTAGTTTCATTTTATTTTTATAATTTTATTCAATCACTCAATCATGTTATATTGAATTTTTTATATAAAAAAAATAAACAAGTAAAGTAGGAGTAAGTAATATGTATAGAATTTGTAGTAAAAATGTCCCAAAAAAATGTAACCATTCCGGATGATGGGAAATAATTTCCCACTTAATTATATTTTGCTTTTCCATACTGGATAATGGGAAATAATTTCCCACCGTAAAACCCCCATTTCCCCTCTTTTTATAAAAAAAATGATGTTTTTTTCGAAATCTACAAAGCCCTTTTACTTAGAAACCATGTTTAATTCATAATTTTATTTAAAAAAAAAATCCATTTGATTAAGGGTTAAATGATTTTTATTGTTAAATTTGTTCGTTAAACATCAATGAAAATGAACATCTAATAATTTTGATTTATTTTATTAGTTTCTATTTATGTCAAGCGGTAACAAAGGTATTTATGCATTTAGATGAGTGGATACCCTTCTAACATTTGTAGAAGAGCACCAGGAGTTAACTCGTGGCCACTGTAGTAATGCAGAAGGGCGAACAAGATCCAACCAATTGCATGGTTGGAGCATTGGGTAGATGCACTAAAACTGTGAAGCAGTGGCAGAAGGTAAGCACTTTTCTGATATTTTTTCAATTATATACATATATTCTTTATTATACTCATAAAAGATGCCGCGATTAGTTTAACAACTTGTTACCAAAGGTGGGCTTATCTCTCAGAGATTCTTCCAACGATTAGCAAGTAATCCAATGCAGGAAACGTTCAAGAAAAAAGAACTTAACATTAATACAAAGTAAATAGAATACCATTCAAATGAATTTACTTGAAGGAAGTAATCGAATGACTATCTACCTATATAATATTCTTTTTTCTTTAATTATTAATTCTTTTCTCTTCTTATTCATTATCCTTTACTTCTTTCCACCCTGCAGAGGTTGCCTGTATGAGATTGCTTTTAAGGATAAGGATGCTAATTTTTTTTAGTACATGATATGCATTTAATATGTTAAGTAAAACCAGTATAATTTATTACAATACATTTTTGTTATAAAATAAAATTTTCCAATACTCATCTATATATATAAAAGAAAGTCGTGTTAGTTACTCCACTTATAACTCAAGAACGGCTGAACAAATTTAGCTGAAAATTGGCAGGGAGGTAGTTTAGAGCCAGGAGAAGGACATAGGATACTTTTTATCCCGTTCGACAGCATTCCCGTGTGACTTGACATGAAACGTCAGTCACTATAAAACGTGGTATAACAAAAAAGAATCAGACTTGGAATAACAAAACGCAAATGACAGCTATGTAATGACGTATGGATGACAATTTGATATTTGTAAGAAATCAATAATAAAACTATTTCTATTAAATAAATAATTAACAATTATAATGTAATGATAGTGCCATTGCCCATTCGTATAAACAGTGAAGTGAACTATAAAACTCGGTATGGTTGAAAATTTGAGTTTTTAGGTGAAGTGAAGTTTAATTAATAATGCCGCGACCAAGACGATCGAATCTTAAGGGGGTCTTCCTATGTGATGGGTTGAAAAAATCGATTTTTTTTTTTTCATAAATTGCTCCCTTAAGGGGTTATATACAGTTAATTTTTTCAAAAAATCGATTTTTTTTTATTTTATTTTCTGATTCTACATATATTCAAGAATACACACAAGAAATTTCAAATCGATCCGGCAAATATTTTCGAAGTTACACGCATATTTGTAACGACGTCTCGGAGCGCTTGGGAGTATAAGGCCGGAGCGGCATCGACTACCTGAGCGCTGTCCCTTTCATGCATCTGTCTATTGTAAGCATTCCCCTTCTAAAGTGTTTAGATGTGTAAATCAACAGTGTGATTATTTTATTTTATACCTGAAAAGTGAGTTTATATTTTTTCGACCCTAAAGTGGAACATATTTAAGAGTGGTAGTCAGTATACGGAGCCAAGCCAAGCTGTAAACTTGTGAGATCGTTTATTTTTTTGTGTGTAATTTCCAGTGAAAATGAAGTCTTCCCGAATAATGAGAAAATCTCATAATGTACGTAAGTCGAGAGTAAAAAAACGTAAAAATGTTTTCAACCCAAAAACAGCTGAAACAGATGAAAGGAGTTTCAGTGCCTCGGCGAAAAAATTTAAAGAGCAAGAGGAAATCTCCGTCACACGTGATCCGTCTGTTGAGTATCGCATACTAAACTTCATTACTGTTTTTGCAGCAATTGCTGAATATGTAAAGTGTAAAGTCTGTGACGGAGATGTCAAGTTTCAAACAACTTCTGAACGAGGACTTGGTTTTCAAATAGTTGTGCTGTGTGATAAGTGTGCCGACCGTAGCGTAAATTCTAGTCCGTTCGTCACGCATTCTTATGAAATAAATCGACGATTTTTATTTGTCATGAGAGTTCTCGGATTAGGATTGAAAGGTGCAGCAAAATTTTGTGGATTAATGGACATGCGAGCTTTTATATCACAGCCAACTTATGATTTGATAATAAATAACATTCACTCCAGTGTAAAAATAGCCACTGAAAAACTTTTTGCACAGGCTTGTACCGAAGAGAAAAATTTGACTTCCGATAATCAAGGTAACGAACATTCAACAGAATTAACTGTATCTGGTGATGGCACATGGAAAAAGCGAGGGTATACTTCCTTGTACGGTGTGACCTCTTTGATTGGATATTATTCAGGTAAAATAATAGATATAGTTGTTAAAAGTGCCTACTGTAAACTGTGTGAAACTTGGAAGAAGAAACTTGATACAGAAGAGTATAATGAATGGTACGAAGAACATAAAAATACTTGCACTGCAAATCATGCTGGTTCCTCAGGGAAAATGGAAGTTGATTCAGTCGTTGAAATGTTCAAACGTTCATTGGAAAAACTCGGAGTCATCTATAAAAATTATATCGGAGACGGTGATTCCAAAACGTACTCGGGAATTTTAAAAGTTAAACCTTATGGTGATGAGGAAGTTGTAAAGAAAGAATGTATTGGACATGTACAGAAACGAATGGGTACGAGACTTCGAGATTGTGTAAAAAAAAATGTTGAGACTGTTGAGAATGCGAAAGGAAAAAAAAAATACAAAAGAAAACTCTCGGTGGAAAAGGAAAACTCACTGGAAAGATGATCGATAAGTTAACAGTTTACTATGGCTTAGCAATACGTAGAAATTGTGATTCCATTGAGAAAATGTATAATGCTATCTGGGCCACATATTATCACTATTGTTCATCTGACCAAAAACCTCAGCACGACAACTGTCCGAGTGGACCAGACTCATGGTGCAGCTGGCAGAGGGCTGCTGCTGCCAATGAAGTATCTACTTTCGAACATGATTATGAGCCACTACCTGATGATGTTGCTGAAGCTATACGTCCGATTTTTATAGACCTCAGCAATAAAAGTTTATTGGAAAGATGTGTCGGTGGTTTTAACCAAAACAACAACGAGAGTTATAATCAACTGATTTGGAAAATCTCTCCCAAAATTGTTCCGGCAGGCTCGAAAACTGTAGAAACCGCTGCATACATAGCTGCTGGCGTCTTTAATGAAGGAATGGCTTCATTATTATATTATATGAATGCAATAGGAATTACACTTGGACCCAACGCACATTTATATGCCGAAAAAGAAGATGAGCAGCGCGTGAACATCTCCGACCGCAGAGCGCGCGATAGCACCCGAGATGGAAGAATGGCTCGCAGACAACATCAGCTCGAGTTATTGGAAGCTAATGAATCAGCAGAAGGTCTCTTATATGGGCCTGGAATAGATGACACCATGTAAGTTGAAAAAAAAATTTTTTTATCCCATGTAAAGTGCACTCAAAACTTTAAACGCGTTTTTCTCGAAATGGTGTTTTCAAAGTCGGTGACCACTGTAACTCGAAAACGGTTTCTCCGATTCGTCTAAAATTTTGATACAAGCTTCTTAAATATATTTTTCAGTTATTAATCGAAGCTTTTATTTTTCCAATAAAAACTTCGATTTTTTATAAACAATTTAAAGTTGAAATTTTGGTGAAAAATCGACTTTTTTTTTTGAGAAGGCGCCATTTTGACAAAAAATTTTTTTTTGCTTATTCCATCGATTAATAATTGAATTTAACATTACTTTAACTAAATCTTTTTATTTTTTTAATTTCAGATGATCCAGTTCAGAGATAGAGTGGTCACCGCAAGACGTCTTTTTTTAGAGGACCTCCTGGAGATCGGCTGTAGCTCTTCTCCAGAGAAATATTTTTACTAATAATAAGCACTAAAATGTTGTTGAATAATACCATAATAAGTATGTAAACTTTTGGAATCAATAAATTTTAACGGCTTCTCAAAAAAAAATCCTAAAAATTCGCTTTTTTTCGACCCATTAACTGTATATAACCCCTTAACATGTCTAGAATACGGTAGTAAAGCGATTTTAGAAAATTCGAAGTCGTTTTAAAGATACAGCAGGTAAAAGGAAGAGCGGTTCGGAGCGCTGAGTTGGCAGTTAGAGCCCGGGCCTATTGTGTACCGTCGGCTTTATACGTGGCCTCCCTTTTATTCATATATCCGTTTATACAAGTTTAGACACGTTTCTACAGACTTAAACAGAAATTTCTATTGTTATAATATTTTACCGAAGTTATTTTAGTCTTGGTTGAACTTCGAAGAGAGCAACAGCTACAAATTATTTTTTTTCATAATGAGTGGACGGAAAGGAAGTACGAGTGAAAATGTTCATCCTGGTCGTAGTAAAAAAAGAAAGTTTAGTGGAAACCGTTTTACCCACCAAAATGATACGGTATTTACATCAGCTTCGGCCAATAAACTTAAAAATAACATGAACATGGAGGTTCCCATCGCTTCGAATTTCGCATATTGCATTTTGGAGTTTGTTTCTGTATTTGCTGCAATCTCTGAAATAGTTATATGTAAAACTTGTAAAAGTGACGTGTCTATTTCGCGATCAAGTTTCCGAGGCCTAGGCTTTAAAATTATTTTATCGTGTGAGTGTGAAAAACAGACAGTTATAAACTCAGGCCCGTTGATCGGAAATGCATTTGAGGTTAATCGTCGGTTTGTATTTGCGATGCGATTATTGGGAGTTGGTCAAGAAGGAGTAAATCTTTTCTGTAGCTTTATGGACATGTGTTCGGGTGTTGCAAATTCTACTTATACTGCACTACTGGAAAACATTCATATTGCTACATCTTCACTGTGTGATACTTTATTGGCATTCGCTGTTACGCAAGAAAAAACTATGAATGAAAAATCAGGAAAACCACAGGATGAATTGACTGTGTCAGGTGACGGTACTTGGAAGAAAAGAGGCTTTTCATCTCTGCTCGGCGTATCTACGTTGATCGGCAAGTACACTGGGAAAGTTTTAGATGTCATGGTCATGAGTAGTTTTTGTGGTGGATGTAATTTGTGGAAAAAAAAAAAAAACAAATCCTTTAGAATACGAAATGTGGTATGAAACGCATGTAGATGAATGCACCATAAACCATTCCGGAAGTTCCGGTAAAATGGAAATAAGTGCCATCACGAAAATGTTTCTGAGGTCTGTAGAAAAATATGGCGTAAAGTATCTAACATACATTGGCGACGGTGACAGCAAAACTTTCAAGGGGATCCTAGATACTAAACCGTATGGAGATACTGCGGTAACAAAAAAAGAATGTGTGGGTCACGTAGAAAAGAGGATGGGAACACGACTTCGGGCTGTTAAAAAGGATAAAACCAATAAAGGAATAGGAGGAAAAGGAGCAGGTAAACTTACTGATAAAGTTATCCAAGAAATTACAAAATTCTACGGATTAGCAATTCGACGCCATCCAGATTCGCTTGAAGATATGAGAAAGGAAGTTTGGGCAACGTACTATCACAAATGTTCTTCTGATCAAAACCCTCAGCATCAATTTTGTCCAGAAGGCGAAGACAGTTGGTGTAAATGGCGTAAGGCTGAAGCTAATAATGAACTGGACCAATTTCATCACGATAAACCACCTCTAATTCCGCAAGTCCAAGAAGCTATCAAACCGGTTTTCGAAGATTTATCGAAAGACGAATTATTAATTCGTTGTTTAGGAGCAGAGACACAAAACAATAACGAATCTTTGAATTCTTTGATTTGGACTTTCGCTCCTAAACATCTTCATTCTGGTCCCAAAATTGTTGAAATTGCTAGCTACTTAGCAGTTATTATCTTTAATGAAGGTTTTCAAGGTATTTTAAAAGTTATGTCGATTATGGGATGCCCTGTTGGTCGTGAAGCCCAAGCGTATGTTGAGAAACGGGATGAAAAGCGAATCTTACGTTCTGAGCGGCGCGTAAGTGATGTCGTTAAACAAGCCAGGATTGACTCAAGAGCTGAACAATCTGCTTTAAAAGAGTTTCACGAGGAAGAGTAAGGAATACTCTATGGACCAGGCATCGCCGATTGAGAGTAAGTTGATATTTTAATAGTTTTTAACGGACTTGAAACTTTAAACGCGTTTTTCTCAAAACTGTGTTTTTCAAACTTTCCTCCATTGTATCTCAGAAACGGCTGGACCGAATTACTTGAAATTTACAGGGCACACTCAATATATGTAAACGCATGGAATGAACTATTATCAATCGAAAATTTTCAAAACTTCGATTTTTTTATAGCAAAAAACAAAAAAAAAAAAACGCCTAATTTGCAACTTTTATTTCAAATGTCTATCAAAAATCCAATTTTTTTTATATTCATTTGATTATAGGTCATTCCGTGCTTTTAAGCCTACAAATTAAAACGCCGTTTATTTTTTTTTTTCAGATAAGCCGATCAGCCGGAATCGTGGAGGAAGTGGGAGCTCTTTTTTTCGAGACGGGGGTGTTCAGAGCGCTGTAACTCTAGTTTGACTGAATATTTTTAGCTGAAATTTTATATTTATACTGTCCAAATATGTGTTAATAAATGATAAAAAACTTGAAGCTCTAAATATTTACTGGTCGTAGAAAAAAAATCCTAAAATATCCCTAAAAAACAGGCCGTCACATAGGAAGACCCCCTTAATTGAAGTTATTAGAAAACGATAGTCATTGGGATACGACAATCGCTGAAGCCATTATCTCTGCATCTCCAAGTCAGATACGCACATTATTCGCTATCATAATTTCGACATGTTTTCTATCAAACCCATGTAACCTGTGGCACAAATACAAGGATAATATGTCAGAAGATATTTTACATCAAATTCGTGTCAGTTCCAGAAATCACGATTTTGAGATGAATGAGGAGATACATAATCGTGCTTTACTCTTGATCGAAGATATGTGTTACCTCATGTGCGGTAATTTATTAATCAGGTTAGGAATGCCAGCACCATATCGTGAAATGAATGACGCATTTAATCGAGAATTGGAACGGGAACGTGAATATGATCACCAGGAATTAGATTTAGTAGTTCAAACGAATGTACCCCTGTTGAATTACTAACAAAAGGAAGTTTATGATACTTCAATGAAGGCAATCGATGATGAAAATGGTGGTTTATATTTCCTAGATGCCCCTGGTGGAACTGGCAAGACATTCCTCATGTCATTAGTTTTAGCAACTGTTCGGGCGAGATCTAACATAACGGTTGCAGTTGCATCTTCTGGAATAGCAGCCACATTGTTAGAAGGATGCCGTACGGCTCATTCAGCATTCAAATTACCGTTAAATCTTCAAACTATTAAAGAACCAACGTGTAATATTGCAAAACACTCAGCAATGACCAAAGTTTTAGCGGTATCGAAAATCATCATTTGGGACGAATGCACAATGGCGCATAAACGTGCATTAGAAGCACTTAACCGAACATTAAAAGATTTACGCAATGACTCGAGATGTTTTGGAGGAGCAATGATTTTACTGTCTGGCGATTTCCGCCAAATACTGCCAGTAATTCCAAGATCTACGGCTGCCGACGAAATAAACGCTTGCCTCAAATCGTCAAATCTATGGCGCTATGTGAAGAAACTGCAACTGACAACAAACATGAGAGTTACATTGCTTAATGATACATCTGCTGAAGATTTCTCGGAGCAATTGCTGACTATCGGTAATGGTTAAGTACCTGTCGATGAATCGAGCGGATTAATATCATTTCCAAATAATTTCTGTAATTTTGTCTCATCAAAAGACGAACTTATCAACAATGTATTTCCAGAAATTATTTCTAACTACAAAAATAATGAATGGTTGAGTGAGCGAGCAATTTTAACGGCTAAGAATAAAGATGTAGATGACCTAAACTACATAATTCAAAATAAGATCATTGGAACAATGCATTCATTCAAATCTATTGACTGCGTCACAAATGAAGATGAAGCCACCAACTATCCAATTGAATTTTTAAACTCTTTGGACATGGCTTACCATCGCACAATTTACGCCTAAAGGTTGGCTCCGTAGTAATCATGCTTCGAAACATAAACCAACCAAAACTGTGCAACGGTACGCGTTTGGTGGTTAGAAAATTGATGAACAATGTAATTTACGCTACGATAATGATAGGAAAATTCAAAGGTGAGGAAGTTCTCATTCCGAGGATACCGATGATCCCTAAATGCTGGTGGCGATTATACCGGCGGAAGTTATTAAACGTATTTTTAAATAAAATATGTTTTCAATAAATACGAATATTTTTTAATCCGATCAAATCATGGAAAACATCGAGTTAGACCGGCATGTGGCATCTCGTGACATCGCCCAGAAGATGGGAGTTAGTCACCAAACCATTTTAAACCATCTGCAGAAGGCTGGATACACAAAAAAGCTTGATGTTTGGGTGCCGCATGATTTGACGCAAAAAAACCTTCTGGACCGAATCAACGCCTGCGATATGCTGCTGAAACGGAACGAACTCGACCCATTTTTGAAGCGGATGGTGACTGGCGACGAAAAATGGATCACATACGACAATATCAAGCGAAAACGGTCGTGGTCGAAGGCCGGTGAATCGTCCCAAACAGTGGCCAAGCCGGGATTGACGGCCAGGAAGGTTTTGCTGTGTGTTTGGTGGGATTGGAAGGGAATCATCCACTAGGAGCTGCTCCCATATGGCCAGACGCTTAATTCTACCATCTACTGCGAACAACTGGACCGCTTGAAGCAGGCGATCGACCAGAAGCGTCAAGAATTGGCCAAGAAGAAGGATGTAGTGTTCCACCAGGACAAAGCCCTGTCCACACACTTCGTTGATGACTCGTCAGAAGCTACGGGAGCTCGGATGGGAGGCTTTATCGCATCCACCATATAGCCCGGATATAGCGCCAAGTGATTACCACCTGTTCCTGTCAATGGCGAACGCCCTTGGTGGTGTAAAGTTGAACTCAAAAGAGGCTTGTGAAAAGTGGCTATAAGGAGGGGAAACAGATTATCGAACAAAACGGCGTATATTTGAACTAAATTCGATCACTGTAACACTTTTTATAAAGTATTGAATAAAGAGCAAAAAAGCGGAAGGGAGATATTTGACCTTTATATTTTGAAATTGGAGAAATATGATGTGCTCCAGGACACTCATCTGGGTGACGTTCGGTCTGGTGATCATGCGAGTCGCATTGTCACATACTATTGTTTATTATTTCCTACACCTACCTTCCATATCAGGAAGACAGCACACATTCATTGACATTCTTAATTTAATCGGAAAAAGTATGTTAATTTAATAGTCAATTTAACCCAGATAAGCCTACTGTCCTATATTTAGGACAGTAGAAATAAAAAAAAATATCAGAATACCCTCTTTATCTAAGATTATTTAGTCTTATGATTTGCAGTAAGAAACGTGTCAGCTTTATTAGAAAAAATAAAAAGACAGTTATTTTAACAGTTTTTACCTTATATTTTACCTTATAAGTGTGTAATAAAAGTGCGTTGCAGACATGGCAAATGACAGGTATGTATAAAAAGTTTTATTTTACTCGTGAGTTGTTTTTTCTGTGTTAATATCTAGTTGATAACCTTAACTTTTGTACTAAATAAATATTCTAGCAAAATAATATAAATAAATTACGTATAACTTGTTACAAATACTAGCGTACTATATATAGGACAGTAGGATAATATACATGATTTTAGTACAATAATACAACTTTTTCTTTACAGACCGTTAGCTGCGCATGAAATTTTAGATGCTTTAGAAAATGTTTCTGATAATGAAGAAGATTATAGAGAACGACTGATATGTATTCTACCTCCTCCTGTTGATCCTGACTGTCTCACTGACGAAGATTCGGGTGAAGAAGATAATGTAACTTTGAATAATTTGCCACGAAACATTCTGCTTCAACCGGCTGAAGTAATGATTCAAGGGCAGATTATGGTGAGTGATACAAAAGAAGAACCTTCTGATTCTACAGGTCGAACTAAACGTAGGCGTACCTACGCATGGAGAAAACGGGACTTGGCAAAAAATCCCGTGAATTGGCCAGATGTTCAAGGCGCTTGCCAAGATAAGCGCCCAATTGAGTGGTTTGAAAACTTCTTAGATGAAGATGTTATTTCGTTGTTGGTGTCAGAGAGCAATAAATATGCTGTCAAAAAGAATTTGCCTGGAGACATAACCACTGAAGATATGAAATGTTTCATCGGCATATTGTTGGTTAGTGGTTATTCATGGCTCCCCCGTAGAAGAATGTATTGGGAAAACTCCCCTGATACAAAGAATGAATTGATCAGCTCGGCTATAACTAGGGATAGATTTGACTTTATTTTTCGCCACCTTCATGTCAATGATAATCTGGATTTGCAAGACAAATACACAAAAGTACGCCCCCTAGTTACACTTCTAAATAAAAAGTTTTTAGAGTTTTCTCCTCTTGAAGAGCATTACAGTGTAGATGAGGCCATGATCCCCTACTATGGTAGACATGGCTGCAAACAGCACATAAAAGGTAAACCTATTAGGTACGAGTTCAAAGCTTGGGTTGGTGCTACACGGTTAGGGTATGTTTTATGGATGGAACCATACCAAGGTGCTACAACTATGTGCAATCCAATATATAAAGAATTGGGGCTGGGTGCAAGCGTTGTTCTCACTTTTTGTGATGTGCTGATTTCACGTGGCTTCGACCTTCCTTACCACGTAGTTTTTGATATTTTTTTTACTGGGACGCCCTTGCTGGAAGAGATAACAAAGAAAGGCCTTCGTTGCACTGGGACAGTTCGAGAAAACAGGACATCTAGTTGTCCTCTGATTACATCGAAGTTACTGTAAAAAAAGGAACGTGGTGCTGTCGATTACAGAACGACACATGACAACACGTTCATTATTGCTAAATGGCATGACAATAATATATTCAGTATTGCTTCTAATGCTGTAGGAATAAATCCTAAACAATCTGCCAAACGCTTCTCACAAAGTGAAAAGAGAAACATTGTCATAGAAGAACCACATATGGTGTCCATCTATAACAAATATATGGGAGGAGTGGATCGGTCTGATGAAAATATTTCACATTACCGAATTGGTATACGAGGTAAGAAATGGTACATGCCGTTGCTCACACACATGATTGATCTTGCCGAACATAATGCATGGCAGTTATATAAAATAAATCATGGAAAACTGGATCATCTTGGCTTTCGCAGAAGGGTAGCAATTGCTTTGATTGAATCAAACAGAAAAAATGCCAAAAGAGGGCCTAGCCGACCCTCCCATCATGAACATGCTGATAGTCGTAAAGACCAAATGAATCATCTGGTTATTCCTCAATCGAAGCAAACACGCTGTCGTCAATGTCACAAAAAATGTTTGACACGTTGCAAGAAATGTGATGTTGGAGTGTGTGTCAAGTGTTTTGAAACATATCATTCATAAATAGTGTTAATCTAGTAAATTACATATAACAATGGGTAATATAATCAATAGTTATCTAATAAACTACACTTTTTGATTACATTCTGTTTTGTCATAAATGGTCTTTTATTTCCTCTTATTATCCTACTGTCCTACATATAGGACGGCTGTTTCCCTGAAAGCCTTACACTTAATTTTTTTTTCATATTTTTTTTTATGTTGCATAAGATCTAATAAACTAAATAATGTAACTTTTTTCAAAATTTTCAGAAAATTTTAGTTTCAGGCTTATCTGGGTTAATATAGAATTGAATATGGAATTTCAGGCACCCAGCCTATAAACTGCAATAATGATTATTATCTACAAGACCATAATTATTGTATTAAAATATAATTAATTATAATTATTTGTTTTAATAAAGCCGCCCGTATAGTTATTAATATTATATGTAAATATAATTAATATTGTATTTATATATAATACAAATTTTAGTAAAAGAATAGAATAGTTTTATTATTAAAATTCAATCAACATACTATATATATAAAATTATCAAATACCAGGTAGATTATAATATTTGTAATACATTGTAGTCTGCCTATGCTTTTATTAACTTCTTGTTGACCCCAAAAACAGGTTATATTTTGTTTAGCAGCAACACTAAAGTCGATCATGCCGCCCCCGTCACCGGAACAGATAAGTTTGTCGCACTGTATGTATTAGTTTATGGTAGATTGTATTTTTGTCAAAGAATAAGAGTAAATTGAAGTGACATTGTTACTTTTAATTTGCTTAGGTTACAGTTTAAAAGTAAATAATGCTAAGACACAGACTTTTTCAGAAGAATAGATCAGTTCCAGTTTTAGAATTCAAAAAGTTCTTAAGAAATTTCGATCGATTCTCGTATAAAAAAAAAAAACGTGAAAAACATTGGACAAAAAAAAAACAATTGTCTAGTGCTCTTTAGTAGTAATATTAATATTACTACACGTTAAATAACGAAAAACTCGAGGTATTACACCAAAATCTAGAAAACTGCCTACTTTTTTCTGCGCTATTTGCAAAGAGGAGTATACACATATTGTGAAAGATTTGTTAGTGTAGTATATATAAACTATGGACCTACAAGGCGCCCTCATCATATATGGGCCGTGGCTCATATTTCTGTGATTAACTTAAGATCTTAAGATTGTAACGATTGGACAGCAAAACAGAACGAGCAAGAAAGAATGATCATATTAAAAAAAAAAAATAATAATAATAATAAGTCCCTATTCAATGAAGCATATTTATATATACATTTTAGTTCAATTGATTTTTGTTGTATTTATTAAAGCTATATTGTAAATACTGCATTTAATAAAAAGACTGGGTACTAACTTGGGATTAGCGTTGTCTTTTTTTAAAGGAAAACCAAGAACGACCACCACCAGCAGCCAAACTGCGGTTACAAACCCGGCTGCCGAACGTCACAAACACTTGAACCCCAACCCGCCACAGGAACGACCCCGGTCCTTGAGTCTATGGAGAAGCAAAAGACAAATAACAGCCGATATAATGAATACATTTTTAACACCTTGTAAACTAATACAGTACAAGTGAAGTCCCTTTTTTATTATATTTTGGTGTTTTTATTTCATTGTGTTTTCGTTTATATTTCTAATCATTATGAATATTGAAATAGGAACTTTGATCGTTGTACAAAACCGCAAAAAATTGCATGATTCAAACTCAAGTTCAAGAGCCCAAAGCTATTATTTATTTTGATAAACCTATAATCTATTTCTTTTAGACCCAGTAACGTCAACAAACTATTTGAGATAGTATCAATTGTAATACTCTTTAGCAACAGAATTAAAAGATTCAAAAACATCCAAATAACGCACCTTTTCTTAGTTACAACGCTTTTGAGTTCTAGATTCATCAGAAAAATCCATTACACATGAGGCAGTATCATTATCAGAAACATTAAATCAACAGATGTTTAAATTTGAACACCAAAAACAATAGTAAACCAGTAGTGACCGGCTCCATTCATGTTTCATCAGGAGCCGTTGTTGGCAAACAAAATACGAGTATATGGCAGGTACACCATGAAAAATAATGACAACCAACACTAATTTAGAATAAAAATATTACACAAAACAGACCACAAGTTTCCTCCAGTATCTACTTCACGCTGCCCATTTAACCACACAAAACCTATGTATTGTCCTCATTGGCGTTTCAATACACATTATTACAGAGATAAAAACAGAAAATTTTAAGAAATTTCGTTTTAAATGTGATAATAAAGGTAATGTGGTATAACACCTCACTGCAAAATATTACAATAATCCTAGTAACAAAATTAGAAGCAGACAGTTTCTCTTTAAAGAAGTTTCGATATAAGAGTCTCTATTTTAAATGAATCCACATAATTTGTAAATTACGTTTATTTATTGATAAAAATAAACTAATTCGTGTTGGTGGTCGGATTGTAAATTCTCCGACTTTACCCACTTTATTTCATCTAAACATTTTTCTCCCTAAGAGAATCGGGGTTCTCCCCATTCTTAATTCTCCACTTATCTTTCGCAACTAGCTGCCTGACGACAAGGCCTTCCATAAACAGGTCACACCACTGCAAAGTACTCCATTCAGATCTTGCATGTCAGAGGCCTCCTCTTCCACCAGACCATTTATTTTGTTTTATTGTTTAATGTGATGGCATATCTTCATTATATAATAATAATAATTATAATTAAAACATTGTAAATAAAAATTTATTTTGATTATGCGATTTTCATTGACACCAGGATTTTAAATTGTAAGAATATTACTTCAAGACCAATATTGAGATTGGAAAATCTAAACAAGACATAAAAGCAAGACAATAACCAAAAATTGCAAACCCTATTATCGAGTTCTCCATGATAGCATGAGAATACCATGATGATAATATGTACCACAATGAGCATCCAACTTTTCCATAATCAAAATCAAAAATACATTGTTCTTAGAGACCAAAATAATTTTATTTCAAGTTTTTCCCCATATACTATTTACTGAACAATAATTTCACCTGAGAAGAAGACTATTGATCTTTTCCAAAATTGGAATTTTACTGCTTATTTTTATTTTAATTTTTTTTTTATTATTTTTCTGTTTTGTTTTATAGTATTTATTAACCATTTTTTATTTTTATTGTGCAACATAATATTGTTGAATGTTTTCCCCTTTAATTCATTACCACATATTTGGTATAATTACAAAGAAACAAAGTCAAATAGAATGTTCTACTTCGAGTAGAGTAAGAAGAAAATAAAAATACCTCTAAATGAACTATTTGTATGCAATCGGACAGAGTAAAAAGAATAAACAATTTTCCAATTGTTACTCCACTCTTTGAATCATTTGTTACATTTTTTCTAAATTACCATCACACTGGTATTAAGGACAATGATTTGGGAATTTTAAAAAGCCATATTGTTGATTCTTCATTTCAATTCATTCTTCACTTCATATGTAACTTTTTTTCAGGACTCTTGTTTTTTGTATTAGTGCCATTCACATGATAAGCATAACTAGATAGTATCTTTCAGATACAGAGAAATCTTCAATTTGTTATAAACAGAAATGGAATGCTGATACTTATATGAAGAATAAGAAAATTTTAATTTAATTGAATTGAATCTCTCTGCTATCTACCTCACCAACTGTATCCACAAGTTTGTAAAATGAAAATTTTTCTAAGTAACAGTATTCATCAATAATTTGTTAATAAATAATAAATTTTGTAAACCAGCACAGTTTTGAATTTTTTCTTTATGTAGAACAAATTTTCTAAACTGACAATCTCTGCAATTTTATCTTTATGCATAATGCATTTTCCAAATAAAGATCATTGTTCTCAGTTTTCAGACATATTATTTTCATATTCCCAAATATATTGCATAAAAAATGTTTTTCTGTCAGCTTTTTTCATATTGATATATTCTATTGAGATGTTTTGAGACAAGACTGAAGTTATTCTTTCTCATTTTCTTTATCAGCCTTTTCACCTGTGAAGAAAAAATATTATTATTTTAGTACAAAAAGAAATTACAATGATTATTAACTAATATTGTAAATGTGTCTGTCACCATATGTCATGGCATAGAATATGCCACCCCTTCCCTTCCCATAGGTGTCATAAGCGACAACTAAGGGAATTTATGGTCAAGGAAAGGCAGCAACTTCTCTCTGAAAACATCTGCCAATCCGCCTACTAAGCTTGGGCCAACTCGCCTGCCAAGCTTAGCAACTACTAGCTAAACTTTCCTTATGGGAAAGGCTTATGTTCAACAGTGGACAGTAAATAAGTGAAATAATAATAAAAAATTTAAAATGTGGGATTTGGTCATTTATTAGAGCTTAGTGATTTGTAGTTAATCAAATTTTATGAAATTTAATATACAAACAACATATTGCAGTCACAAACAAAACTGTGAGTAAACACTAGTTCCTATAAACCATGGAACAGGATAACTATCAACAGAAATTCTCCTTCATATATTACTTTATTAGTAATAGAGTTTAGATTTCTAGATATCATGTCAAACTCCAAATAGTCCGCCTTGGAAACCATTGTGGTTGATTTTAGATAAATTTATCAGTATGGCCTAACAGATCCAACATCTCACTGGTACCATACCATTATTATCCATAAAAAATTCCAGAGAAACTTTGTACAAAAATTGTTTGCTTGGGCATTTCTGTCCCATTCGTGTTTCTACCGTGAAACAATTATGTTTGCATGGCTGTGTTTCAGTTTGAAGGGTGAGATATGGCAGTGAATTTACAGAGTACAGAGGATTAACACCTGACTCCTCAGAAATGGCACACATGGGGAGTATCATGGGCGAAACAGTAGACTCTGTTATGTCCATGGTATTGTTCATGTCTTTAGGCGACAGTTACCACTTTCCATCAGGTATGCCATCAGCTTGTTTGCCATTCTAAGTTGCATAAAAAAATCTAAACATTCCACTTCAGCCATTACTAGGGAACAAGGAGGATTAACAGCTAAATTGATAGTAATACATCCTGTAAATTGAATGAAAAAACCAGGTTGTTCATGTACACCTCATTGGTGTACCATTTGCGCAGGGGTTACCAAACCATTTTTATCCTAAATAGATAAAAATTAGACTTATTGTTTGCTAAGAGTATCTTATGACTATGTTTCTTCTTTATAGGTTAGGGAGGTGGTAGCTAGTATTTGAACAACGTAGTAGTTGAGCGAAATATTTCTAGTTTTTGGTGGCATGGACGAATTGTCAAACTTCAACTCACCAAACAGAGCCAAAACACCTCTGCCGTCTTCTGCAGTATTATTCAATCCGGTGATAGAATGATGTATTTACGGAATATTTATTTGAATATGATGGTAAGCAGGATGAACTAAAATATTTAATTAATAGATTTATAATTCAATGATTGATATTAAAATTTTCAACCAATCTGGAAATTTGTAGATAAGTGAAGCGCGCAAAATACAATGATAGCAAATCGACGCTAAAGCTAGGATCCCTCAAAATGCGTTTCGAACAATAAAAAAAAAATTATACAAAGACGCGTAACTTTTTTAAAAAGATTTTAGGTTGGATTGGTTGGCTTGCCCTTGAGGAGTGTCATTATGTGTTGCCACATAAAATCTGCTAAAATTCGCCAAAAAAATGGGCTTTCAATATATGTTTACTTGTACAAAAATAGAAAAAAATATTTTGGTACTTAAACATTTTACTAATACTGATTCTGACATCAGAAAATAGCACTATTTGATGAAATTTTATAAAAAAAAAAAACTGTGCCCATTGTATCGAAATTAACATAAGGGATTTTGTGATTAAAACTTATATAAAAACATGTAGAACAAAAGTTGAAGAATAAGAGCTGGATTTAGCACCTAAATGGCAAAGTTGGCAACACTGAACTTTTTTTTAAATAAAGTGTTTAACAGCTTGAGAGTCATGGTTTTGTGTTTTTTTTTTTTTTGCTTCAGTTACTATTCTTAATCTATGATCACAATGTTTCCTTTTATTCTTTCATTGATTATTTAGCTTATTCAGATTGAAATTCTTATATTTGCTAATATTACTTTATCTTTAAAGGAATATTTTGATTTAAGACATTACCAACAGTATTCTCTATTTACGATGAAAGGAATAGAAACAATACATTGGTATATTTGAATTACTAAAGCCATTTAGATAGAGAGTATGTTTTCTTTCTTTTAATTTTTAAATATGTTATGGAAAACAAATAATTAACCTACCTACTAAACTTTAACTATTAAAAATAAAATGAGCAAATACATAATCAGGTATATTCTTTAATCTGGATAGAAATCGGAGTCATCAATGTGTTTGTATGTATGTATAAGTATGAACCCCCGTATAGGGGAGGCCTATGTCCAGCAGTGGACTAACTGTCCACTTCTGAATATAGAGCTACCTGATGACTAATATGATGATGATATAAGATACAGATGAAGTAGAACATAGATATAGATGAGGATAATGGAGGCGTTAGGAAGTTTTTTTTTATACAACTTAGAATGGCAAACAAGCTGACGGCCCACCTGATGGAAAGTGATAACCGTCGCCTATAGACATGAGCAATACCATGGACATAACAGAGTATACTGTTTCACCCATGATACCCCCCCATGCGTTGCCATTCCTGAGGACTCAGATGTTATTCCCCTGTACCCTGTAAATTCACGCCATCTTTCACGCCCACCCTTCAAACCGAAACACAGCCATGCAAACATAACTGCTTCACAGTAGAAATATGAATGGGACTGAGGTACCCAAGCAATCGACTTTTGTACTGTCTCTCTCTGGTCTCGCAGGACCACAGCCACGGGACGAGCTACTTTATAATATTCCACTGGGGCTGTTAGACCCCATTATTAACAATCCCTCCACTCTGAATACTTTTATTATAAAATAGATATATTATTTTTTTAAATTATGTTAATTTTTAAATGATATATTGTTTTTATTATAATTACAGTTATATCAGTAAAGTAATCAGGTGTAATAGATAGGTATTTTTGAGATCATAAATACTATTACTTGGTCTATGTTAGTGATGTAACTTATCTTGGTATATTTAATTCTAGTTTGCATGACTACTGTCCTTGTTGATTTTGAGACAGAAAATAAAGTTGTTTAAATTTTATCTCTTTTTAATTATTAAGTTAAACGCTGTAGAGTGTATATTCAGGCCAGATTGATAGCAATGCCTAAATCTAAGTTTACTTGAATAAAAATATTTCTTTCTTTCTCTCAAGTTTTACTACTTTACTATTAAGAAATACAAAAACGATATTTTGGTACAATGGCATCGCGGTAGAAAATATACTGCGACGCCTATGTGAAGTCGCATCTGATGTAAACAGCAGAATGCAGCAATTAAATGTATATACTACTTTGTATATACTTTTATATATATATATATATATATATATATATATATATATATATATATATATATATATATATATATATATATATATATATATATATATGGTAAAAAAAATACATGTTTGATAAGAGTCTGTCACAGAACAAATTGAAAAAACAATACATGTTCTAAAAATAATGTTCTAATACATGTTCTATACTGTTGTGTAGCGGCTGTGTTTACGTGGATATGTTTCGGTTTGAAGGAATCCCATCCTGTCAGCGAAATATAGAATTCATAAGTGAAGGAATTTATTCTTTATTTGTACACAAATATTATCTCTAATAAGAGATTACTTCAAACAAACATTTTCATGTGAATTAAATCGTTTGTTTTAATTGTTATTTTAAATTATTTGCATTGTGTTTCGGTTTGAAGGGTGGGATATGGCGTGAATTTACTGGGTACGGAGGAATAACACCTGTCGTCCTCAGGAAAGGCAACGCATGGGGGGTATCATGGGCGAAACAGTATAATAATAATAATAAACTCTTTATTGCGCACAGTAAAGATGTATACAAGGAGTATTTATACAGAACGTGCATATACAAAAGGCGGCCTTATCGCTACAAGCAATCTCTTACAGACAACCTGGTATACTTTGTTATGTCCATGGTACTGCCCATGTCTATAGGCGACGGTTACCACTTTTCGTCAGCTTGTTTGCCATTCTAAGTTGTATTAAAAAAAGTTGTAAGTAATAGGAGTTCAACAGCCCCATTTCTAGGAATATACTCTATTCGATTCTATCGACCTCCACGCGACTCTATTACGAAAACCATCATGACTATTTCTTTGTAAATTCGTTATTACATACTAAAACTTAAAACTGAATAAATTACGTTTATATAAAAACATAAACTGACTTGTTTCATGCTCACCTATCATCTCTCATAGCACAGGCGAGGTTACTATTCCCTTATCATCTATAAAAAAAACCTAACCTGACCTCACTGAATATAGTCCTCAGGAATAGGGGAGAAAGGGATTATTAGTAATGGAGACTGAGAATCTCATTGCTAGCAATATACCCAACTAGGGGGAAAAGGATTGTTAGCAATGGAGTTTGACAGCCCCATTGCTAGCAATATACCTTATTAGGTCGACCTCCACGTGGTTCCCCCTGGAAACCATAGTGAACAATTCTTGTTGAATTCATCACGATGGGCTGACTGACCTGCTTCATCCTCACCTATCATCCTTCACTGGTGCCCCGCCAGTGTATACCGATAGCGCGGGTGGGGTTACCATTCCATTATCACCCATTTAAAAAAAATATATATACCCAACCAGGACGATCTCCTCGCGGTTCTCCCTGGAAACTATCATGGTTAATTCCTGATGAATTCATCATGATGGGCTAACTAGCCTGTTTTCATTCTCATCTATTACCCTTCATTAATGCTCCGCAAGCGTACCGTTAGCGCAGGCGGGGTTATCATACCATTTTCACCCATAAAAAAAAGTCCTCAGGAATAGCAACGATACCCCTTATCATTGGCATCGCAGTGTACTCTAGATGTTCCTGTCTATAGTGTGACCAGTGAGAGGTCCGTCAGCTTGTTTCCATTCCATCTATATATATAAAAATTAATGCTACTTTTCGTTGTAATTTTATAACTCAAGAACGGGCTCACCTATCCAAACCAAATATTTAGGCTTTGTTCGGACTATTTAGTAGATGGTTTATGTGAAGTTTGCACAAAATCGGTCGAGCGGTTCTTCATTTATCACATTTTTTGTAACAAATGAATTCAATAAATGGCGGATCATTTTGTTAATAGAGATTTTTGTGTCAAATTCAAACTTTTTTTAAAATGGGGATTGTGCTGTCAAATTGAAACTTTTTTCAGTGTTGTCAGTACAAGCATGTTGTTATGTCATTCATGCGGTCATTTCATTTTGGACGTGAATTATTATTTTACTACCTTACAGCCATTTTATTCAATTTATAATCACGCTTTGTTTTTCTCCGAAAACCGACCCCATGATACCTACTGTACCATATCGAACTGTTACACATCCAAGAAATGCAATTTAAATATTTCGTGCCAAAATAAAAAATATATGTTCTATTTTAGGCACACGTTATGGGCACAGGTCATATATTTTTTATGTCGTTAAATCTACAATTTGACCGCGTCGAAACGATTGTTTTCTGAAATAAAAATAATAAAAAACGGTCAATTGTGTGTTAAATTTACACGAGGAGAGTTCCGTACATTAACTAATTTGTGAGGTTTAAAGATTTTTTAAGAATTTTTTTTTAATCACAAATTAATTTGAATTATGTGCATATATAAGATTATTTGAAAATGATTAAATTACCTTATAGTGTTTCCTATATGAAATAGTGGGCTCATTTTCAGTAAGTAAATGCGACTCTAATCCAATTTCTGTGGACCTCTCAACGTATATTCAATTAATCCCCAAAAAAGCTGATGTCCCCGAAATATAGAAGCTAAGTTTTTTACGAAATATTTTTTAGATACATGAACTTTTCTGGAGACTTCAAACAAAAAAGGTCGCAATAATTAAACAGATATTTCTCTTGCATCATCATGCATATACCTCATTATAATAATTATTCTCATAGCAATTAAGAATAGATTTCTTTGAGCCGTAACTGTGTTTAAGTACTAAACTTCATAACTAAGTTTGTTTTTGATAGTTAATAGTAGTTTATAGATTATTAAATCTCGTTTTATTTTTCCTGTAATATTCACATATAAATCTCGACAAAAGAGGAAAAGAGGGAAGACCGCGAAATAACTACATGAGACAGATAAAGGAAACACTAGGTATCATGTCGTATAAGGAGGTCAAAAATACGGCCTGGAATATAGCTGACTGGAACATAATACATGAAGATAGTTAGCCGGATATAAGGAAACACTTCAATAAAAATAAATTACATCTTTAATGAAAACTATTTTAGAATTTAGGCAACGAATTTAGTAGTGTTCAAAATAATGGCAGTTTTAGTAGCTGCGGTAAAGCGCTGTGACAAATGATTGACGGACGGACAAAGTCGCATCATAAGGATTTCTTTCTACCATGGTGGTACGGAACCCTAAACATCGGGTAGCAACAAGCTGGTCACACGAGTCGACTAAAAAGTATATAAACTGGCTAATGAAATGGCACGCTGTGTGTGCCTAGGGTTTCCAACTTTTTTCCTAAGAAATAAAGTATGTTAAGATTCGAGAAGTATATTAAACAATATTTTAGAAAAATTAACAGTATTTTATTGATTTAAATTTTTAAATACATACACTTTAGAGCTTCTCAAATAACTTATTAATTTACAGTCTTTTTTAAAAGATTCATATGCCTCCCCACAGTTATAAATAAAAGTAAATGAGAAGCTCATTTTTTATTAAATTAATCTACACTGAGCGCCCTCTGACGGAATAAAAAAAAAATTGTGTAACCGTCTAAGTCTAACACATAGTGTCAAGCATTTTGATGCTCAAAACAATATCTTGTATACTTTATTTTTTGTTCAACAGTAACAAGTATAATGTAGTGAAAAACAGCATAATACCGTTTTTAACAGTATATTTGGCAACCCTATATGTGCCACGCGTACGTATCCATACTACTTGAATAATATATATAATTATCTGTGCTTATACTGTTTGATTCTGTACAATAATATCTTTAACCTCTAGCTTTATCCAGCGGCTTTACATGCGTGAAAGCGTACGACGTATCTACAGTATTTTGAAATTGTTTATAATTACTCCTCTCCATCCAAAGGTTGCCTGGGAGAGATCGCTTTTAGTGATAAGGTCGCCCATTGTTTTCTCATTGTAATTATTTATATTTATAATAAGTTTATTATTGTAATCTTTTGGAGGAAATAATAAAGAGTATCTAGATATCTATTCTGTGTTACATTCTCAAATATAAAATATTTATATTTTTCACGCCATCTATTGTCCAGTAGAGGCAATTCTTTACTTGATAATAGATGTGAATCATTTACATTTAAATTTCATCCATGGATTTTTTTAAACTTCTATATTAACTATTTGAGTTACGCGACAGGTGTTAAAAACTATTATGTTAATATTTTTATAATCGTGGGCGATAATATACATTTTGTGCGTAATTTAAATTTCTGACTGACTAACTAAATTAATTCGAATAATGACCATAGACACGCCTATGCTGTGTTCGAAATGTTCTCAGCTATAAAGCTCAGCTCTAATAGGATAGTCAAAGGTACTCGTCGATTGCCGCAATTATGGCAAGCCTAGCACTCAGGGGAGAAAGGGATTGTTAGAAATGAGGACAAACAGCCCTATTTCTAACCATACACACGCAGGGGGGAAGGGATTGTTAGTAATGAGGAGCTTAGTTCCCATTACTAACAATATACCATATCAGGTCGACCTCCACGCGGTTCCCCCTGGAAACCATCGTGACTACGACACCCACGAGAAAAGAAATGGTTGGCCTATTCTATGCCGGGACCACACAGCCATCTTTGTTATTTAATTTATATTTTTCTACCTATTGTTTATCTTGTTTAATTGTAAATACCTACCTATATCCGAATGTATTGCATTTTTGATGTTTGTACTTATTGACCCAGAACATACAGGTGCTAATAATATGCCCTATTAGGTCAACCTCCACGTGGTGCCCCCTGGAAACCATCGTGAACAATTCTTGTTGAGTTCGTCATTATGGGCTAACTGACCTGCTTTATCCTTCCCTATCATCCTTCACTGGTGCCCCGCCGGTGTATATATATAGCGCGGGTGAGGTTACCGTTTCATTATCATCCATTAAAAAAAAAAACGTACAGACATATGTATGAACTTTATAAGATTAAACATTATTTAAAGAAACAGGAGGAGAATATTATTATAAGATAGCGAAGGATATTTTGGATTTACCTTTTAACAAGTTTAAAACTGTTACTAAAAACAGTTATTGACCAAAGCTAAAAGATTACTTGAATGACAAATCGTCATAGTCGTAGAATACTGACGGATCTTTATATGTAATATTCGTCAGGTCCGTCAGTATTCTACGACTATGACGAAATGTGCATGGTGTTAGTCGATCATGGGTGGGCTTTTAACGACCATGTAATTTTAGACATAGTACATTTAAATAAATACACATAATATTAACAGAGATTTAAAAGAGTAACTGTTGAGTTTCATGTGGGCTCTTCTCAGCAGATAAGAACTTTCCAAACCCAGCAATAGATTTAAAAAAAAAAATGACGATTTAAAAGTGCTTGTAAACAAGTATTGTTAAATAAAAATTATTTGAATTTGAGGAATATTCTAATTATTTTAAAGCGATAAGTTTCTCAAATATGTAACAGGGATAGATGGATAGAAAGACAAACATGCATCAATTTGTTTCTTTTAACTTGTCACTTTTTATATGCAAAACTCAGTGTCACTTTACGTTATTATTAACTAGAAATTACAAGTGGGTAGTTGCATTATTTTTATGTAAATTTTAATCTGTGTCTAACATCATCAAAATGGAACTCGTGACTTAATTTACAGTGTATTTAGACTCAGATTAACTTGTACAACAATTAGTCCATTACCTTAAGGTTGTCTTGAAAAGATTGCACTCAGCAATAAGACCGCCTTACTGTACATATACAATTGTATCGTTGTGTTTGTAAATTGCCTTGCTTATTTCCTATATTGTATAATGCAAATAAAGTATACTCATTCATTCATTCATTCATTTAATAACTAATTAATATACAGACATATCAAACTACTATTACCATTGAAATAATTGGTTAAGAGTTAAACTTAGAATACTGGTGATTCAGAATCGACCCCAATATTAAAATTACATGTATGTTTATTTATAAATTAAACTAGTGTTCGTGTTATCCGAATATGTTTTTTTATGCAACTTAAAATGGCAAAAAAGCTGACGGCCTACCTGATGGTAAGTGGTAACCGTCGCCTGTCACATGAGCAGTACCACTGACATAACAGAGTATACTGTTTCGCCCATGATACCCCCCATGCGTTGCCATTCCTGCGGACTCAGGTGTTATTCCTCTGTACCATGTAAATTCATTGCCATATCGCACCCTTCAAACCGAAACACAGCCATGCAAACACAACTACTTCACGGTAGAAACACGAATGGGACAGAGGTGCTCAAGCAAACGACTTTTGTACAAAGTTTCCCTCTGGTTGTGTATTGACTAGTACAAAAGTTTGCCTCATGATGTAATAATGTGACTTATGACATGTCCCATAAACATGTATGGTATAACTTCCTTTATTAGCAGTTAATATATAAGAATATTGTAACTGGTTAAAACCGGAGTATTCATCATGTAAATCCGAAGTGCACCAGTTTACAACCATTAACGAGTGTATTTTACTCTCCGCAAACCTTCCTCATTGTAGCCATCTTAATTCCATATAGTATGTGCATACCAAATTTCATAACAATTGGTTTAACCGTTAATGCTCTAAGAAATAAACAAAAAAACTCGCTTTAAGCTTTATAATATTAGTATATTCTATTTAAAAATATTTCTACCTATATACGTACTACTAACATCATTACTGTAAAAGCAAATATTTATCTTATTAATTTGTCTTAGCGCATTATTGGCTCGACCAATTTTAATGAAATTTAATGCGCGTAGTACCTAACTAAGTACGCGTATTAAGTTTCACGGACATAGACATGTGAAAGAAGTGGCGTTGAAAGTTTATTATAAAAATCCCTACGCACCCTCATGTGTTTTTTTTGATGGGTGAAAATGGTAACCCCGCCTGCACTAACGGGATACGCTGGCGGAGCACCAGTGAAGGGTGACAGATGAGAATAAAAACAGGCTAGTTAGCCCATCATGATGAATTCATCAGGAATTAACCATGATAGTTTCCAGGGAGAACCGCGAGGAGGTCGACCTGGTTGGATATATTGCTAGCAATGGGATTCTCAGTCTCCATTACAACAATCCTTTTCCCCCCAATCGCCATCCTCATGTGTATCAAAGCTTAGAAAGGTCATGCACTAATTTAAATACAATTATCTTTTTTATTATCCTTACTTCATTCAGCGCTGACGATCAGTTGACAACATAACCACGTGATGGCATACTTATTTAATTGTCATTATTACAGTATCAAGGCATTTCCGATCTTACATCTTTGCCATAAAAAAAAAACTTTTTAAAAAGTTGTGTACGAGTTTGATACCTAGTTTATATACGTGAGAACTTGAATCAGTCGTTTACTGACCGCAGGATTGTGTGGTCGTGCGTGTTTCTAAAGTGTTAGTGTAGCTACGTTAGTGAAATGAGGTTGATTTTGTTAATTGGTTTCTCGTTGAGCCTGACCAGTTCGTGCTTCGGGAGCGGTGAGTGTATATTTTTTTTTTAAATAATAAATCAATATTTTTCGTTACTGGATACTTGGTATTCAATATAAATTAATTGCAAAGTATCTACCTACCAACAAAAAAATGTTGAAAACTTTATAATAAAAAAAAAAATTTTATCTCCGAAACAAAAGAGTGATTCGTTTGAACTTTTGTTTACGTATTAGGAGTATATTAAACACTGATAACAGTCTTAAGTATAATGTAAATTCTATAGTTTTATTGTAATTAATATTTTTTTTTAAACAATGTAGGTAGGTAGGTAACTAGGTGTCCTCATATTATACATCCTTTTACAAATTAAACAAGTATTAATTAATTCTTATTTAAAAATATGTCTTTCCTTTTTTAATATATTAGAACATAAAATATATTTATTTTATTTTTAATAAAATTTTGCACTCTAATACGTACGCGCGGATTTTCGAAATAGGAAAACCAATTACATAGACTACTTCTAAATGGTGTACGAAAATAAAACATACAGAAATTTTTGAATTACAAAAATGAAAACCGCATTAAATTTAGTGCAGTTTTTGCGTGATGCTGGACAAACATTTAGACAAACAGATAAAATTTCTAAAAATTATTATTTTCGCTTCTATTGTTCTTTTTGTTAAAACCCCTAAAGATTTTTTAAATTTCTTTCGCATAAAGACATCGTTCACTTACAATTATATTAGTAAAATATGGATGTGAAATTTATAGCTACCTCCATTTAAAAAATAAATTTGTAAGAAATGGCGTATGAAGATAAAACATAAACCAGTTTTTGAGTTAGACATTTAGATATTCAATAGTGAAAACCGCATTCAATTTGGTGCAGTAATCTTTCCGCGATGCCGGAACAAACATGCGAACAGATAGATAGACAGATAAAATTTCAAATAATTTCTGTTTTAATTTATATCGCTCCTATAAAAAAAAAACCTATGTAATCCCTTATATATATGTTTTTAAACGTTTTTCAAATACCTATATCTTCCAGTTGGCATTTTATTATATTAATAAAATATCGATATTGAATTTATATCTACCTCCTTTTAAAAAAAAAATGTCTTATTTTTAAGTGTAAGTAAGTCATTCTTAAAGTGTAAATAATAGAATCTCTTGAAATTTTAAACGATTTTTAACTTTAAAAAGTACGAGGTTCTCATTTCGGTTATAGATTTTTTTTTTATGTTGGTAACCTCATCATCACTTCGTGTCAGTTATAAATCTAGATAGTTATAAATAGATAAAGATTTACAACGGGCGAGCTTTACTCTGAAGAATTCTCTTCCAGCAAACCTTGCAATAATTACCAGGAAATAATTTTATTTTAATTAAAAAATTTAATAAATTTCAATAGACTCCAAAAAAAGGAGGTTCTGAGTTCTGTTTTTTTTTATTGTTTGTTACTTCATAAGCTCGTCAATTATAAACCTATTTGGAATATTCCTTTCTTTTTATCTTACAAATTGGTCCAATAGAAACTTTATCAAAATTTGTGTTTAAATCGAAATAGATTGGTTTTGCCACAATTTAAGTCGATTTTTATTTTGTTGAACGCGATCTTAATTTTTTTTAAATTGGTATAATTTTACCAAAACCACCTAAATGGTATATATTAATATCTAAATTTGACAACGGCCATTGTAAATAATCGTGACATTAATTTCCGAGAATAGTCTCAACAGACAGATAAATTGGCGTTGCAGATTAAAAGAACCGCAAATGATTGCATTTAAATCACGGACGGACAGTCGGACAATTAAATGTTATTTATATGTCTAATGTCTAGACTTTGGGAATTGATCGAAACGAGGGATCTTGGCCATTTTAAAAATAAAATAATTATTTTCACTAATAATCCTAATGAAGGTAGTCAGAGGTATTTTTAAACTATTAGTTTTTTTCATCAAGGTTTCCGTAATAAGGATAAAAGGGGCGAAGGGATTGTTAGCAATGGAGTTTGACAGCCCCATTGCTATCTGAGCTATACCTGTCAGTATTTTTCTTTACCAAGGAGTATGTCATTCTCACTACTTTTTGATCCCTCCTCGTATATATTGGTAACATTGTTTTTACAGATCTTAAATTATTGTGAAGTCCAATAAAAAAAAAAAAGTTTTTTTAGAATACAAAGTTTAGCACCTGTTTAATTGCCTTAAGCGATGTAAACAAGTAAATATTTATGCAACTTAAAATGGCAAACAAGCAGACGGCCCACCTGATAGAGAGTAGTAACAGTTGTCTAAAGATATGAAAAATGCAATGAACATAGCAGAATATTAGACAGAGGTTTACTTTTTTATAAAAAAAAAAATTAATTGTTGTTGTTATAAACAATTTTTTCAAATTCAAATTCTTTATTTGCAAGAAATGCAAGTCGCTACGACGACAAAATACAGAAATATAAAAAGTAAATGCCTCATTCTATACATAATTGAAACATGTATTTTTGGAATTAAATAAATATTATTATTATTAAATATTATTATAATATCAAACTATAACTGTCCACTGCTGGACATAAGCCTGTCCCTTGTGAGGTATTGCTAGTACATGTCACGCTTGGCAGGCGGATTGGCAACCGCAGTTAAGCTTTGTAGATGTTTTAAGAGGGACGCTGCTGCCCATCCTTCGACCATAAGTTCCCTTAGTCGCTTCTTACGACGAAAGGAAGGGGTGGCCTATTCTATGCCGGGACCACACGGCAATCTACCAAAAGGGGGTGCAAAATAAAAAGTAAAATACTTTTTTTTTGCTTATTTTCTAAGTGATAAATTTGTAAATTTATGCCCACGTGAATAAAATTCCATGGATGGACTATCTAGGAGTTATTTTACATTATAGTGTATGTACTTCTTTATACAATACTAGTATCATGATTGATACCATTTTGCCATGATTTAACAATAGAATGATTTCTAAACAAAACTACTTTATATGTAGGATTAAGTTGTTATCATCGCTAAGGATAAAAAAAAAAACAAAACAAGATTATGAAAATCGTCGCGCACGCAACAAGCGAGTTGTCCGACAATTCATTTACACAATAACCTTGTTGTTCCAGTGTGGGAATCGCAAATTATTTTCCTTATAATCTATGGTTGTCGACATATTCAATTTATTTTACATTGTATTTTTTTTTATGGGTGAAAATGGTATGGTAACCCCGCCTGCGCTAACGGGATACGCTGGCGGAGCACCAGTGAAGGGTGATAGATGAGAGTGAAAACAGGCCAGTTAGCTCATCATGATGAATTCATCAGGAATTAACCATGATAGTTTCCAGGGAGAACCGCGACGAGGTCGACCTGGTTGGGTATATTGCTAGCAATAGGATTCTCAGTCTCCATTACTAACAATCCCTTTCCCCCTTTACTTTGTATTAAACTTAGATTATTTAGATACAGTGTCTCCATACAAATGCTTCGAGAACAGCGAGTCAACTTTTTCATACAATTTTGCGTGATGAATAGTTATGAGTGATTCCTTTATAACTTCAATATTTATTTTGTCTTATAAATTTTGTACCTTTTTAAAGCGTAAACACTCATTTTATTTATTAAATAATACACCAAGATATATTTTATGCATAAATAATATAGAATACCGATAAAAAAACATGTCAGCTAATATGACAATTAGCTGACAAAAAGTTGACCCGTTTTTGAGGCTCGATACTCTATCTATATAATCAAAATATTAAAACCATTTTATTTTTTATTGTTAGAAAGGCAAACAAGCAGACAGTCCAAGAGGGGTTGCTCGTGCGTTGCCGCTCTTTTCAATGTTTATAAATTAAAATTGTAAAAAGTTTAGAGCAGTCCAGGTACATTAATAGAATTTAAAGTTTATAAGGGACTAACACAAAAAATTACTTAACCGATATTAAACATTTTTCACGATAATATCTACCAGCGAATAACATTGGCTGTATATTATTTTTTAAATATATCTATCTGTGTGTAGCCTAGTGTAGACTAGTGACACCTAGTCTGCTATATTATGTATAGAAAAAACGTATAGATTAAGAATAGCTTCGAGTAAAAATAATATTAAAAAGACCTATTTTGACAGATGACAAATTCCTATGACTAAAGTTCATGGATTGAGAATAGTATCTGAGGATTCTCTTTCTATGTTTGTACTTGTTGTAGGCAAAGAAAACGAAGCCTTTCCATTCAATTGTAATTAATTTAAAATTAATAATTCTATTATATTTTGTTTCATTACATAATAATTAAATAATTATAGCTGTAAGTATCCCTAAAAAAAAGTACTAGTATTTTGCTTCTGGTTAAAATTTTGGTTAAAATATACTCACTATTTGGCATCTGTAAAAATTTCCAACTTTTTTTTTATTACCTTATGAGGTAATAAAAAAAGTTGGAATTATGATTCCGGCAGTTATAAACCGATTCGGACAATTCTTTTATCTGAAAATAAAAACACACATATTAGTCTTTTAGTTTTTAAATAACCGATTCTGTCACAATTAAAATAGTTCTTTTTTGTCGAGAATTATACGTGCATAAGTATTTATTGGTCAAAAATAAATTTAATACTACATTAGTATACAATCTATTGACAGGAATTAAATTACAATAATTTATGAAATAATTAGTGACAGTAAGCGACAACCCTATTATCGTCATTTTGTGATTATCACCTGAATAAGAAGTTGATGAGATAGCTATTTTCAAACCCGGATAAATAGGTTGGTGCTTGCGACAACCCTTCTTACGTAATGAGCTTTTTATACTTGCACAGCTATTTTTGCAGCAGAATTTTATTTTAATCTACAACTAGCAATTCAACCCAGCTTCGCACGTGTGGATAGAAAATATATATACTCACTGATAAGATAGCTTTCCTTTTAAATTTGAATATTTAAATACGGTTTAAAAGTTTTTGAGTTTATCGATTGTAAACAAATAAACATTATGTTGTTCTCAAAAAATGGATGGCTTTGTTAAAATCTAAGCATT